AAAACTTGTATGTGGATAACAGTTTCATTCCCATCCTGAATTTCTTTGAATTGATTTTAACTCTTCACAAGGTAATCAGTTTCCTCCAAGGAGTTCAGAGTAGTTTGTTGATATCTGCTACCTTTACAGAATCTTTATAAAGTAGGTAGGGAATTTTCATTACTTAGAGTAAAGAGGTTTTCTCATGTTGTTCTGTGTGACCTATCCTGGGTCACACAGTGTTACAGGTAGAAACAGTAGCCAAATCTCCTTGTCTCAAAATCTTAAACTTAATTTATACTTCAGATGGGCAAGGTATATGGATTTTTGTTTTTTAAATAAGCTCTATGCCCAGTGTGGGTGTTTCTTGAGCTCTCTGAGATCAAGAGTCACATGCTTTACCAACTGACCCAGCCAGGCGCCCCAAGGTATTTGGATTTTTAAAAGTAATTTGTATTTAGTTGGATGTAGTCTCATAGTATACTATATATAGTATAGTATAGTAGTGATACTACTGGGCCAAATAAATGGTTTCTTTAGTACCGCCCATCTTGACCCAGCAAAAGTTCATTGGGTATGGCTCCAGAGTCTGGTGCAGACTCTCAGGCCAGTGTACACCTTAAAAGGTCAAAATTCAAGGAACCAGAGAGATATGTTCATTCTGACCAATGAAATATCTTGGCAGCATCCAGTGACATATAAGGGTAGGGTCTGCTATTCTCAGATGTACTGATGATATAATTCCTAGTATAAAATAATGCAAAGTCAGCACAAGGGTGGTGTGAGTAGAAATTTCAGTAGACCTTGTGCTCATTTGCATGTCTAGTTCTAGCAAGAGAAGATGGCTAGACATGGTCTCTGCCCTCAAGGAGCTCAGATTCCAGTAAATGACTTTAGTTTGTGGTTTCTCCCAAAAACTTGAGGAAACTAAGAAGGTCTAACACAAATGTGAAGGGTGAGGAAGATTTCTCTTAAAGACTTCATGATGGGATGCCTGGCTGGCTCAGTCAGTGGAGCATGTGATTCTTGATCTCAGGGTTGTGGGTTCGAGCCCCACATTGGGTGTAGAGATTACTTAAAAAAAATAATAAAGACTAGGAAAACTGAGGCGCCCGGCTGGCTCAGTCTGTAGAGGCTGTGACTCTTGATCTCATGGTTGTAAGTTTGAGCCCCACATTGGGTGTAGAAATTACTTAAGAAATAAGATCTTGAGGGGCGCCTGAGTGGCTCATTCGTTAAGTGTCTGCCTTCAGCTCAGGTCATGATGGGATCGAGCCCCGCATTAGGCTCCCTGCTCCTTGGGCAGCCTGCTTCTCTCCTTCTCCCACTCCCCCTGCTTGTGTTCCTTCTCTCACTGTCTCTCTCTCTGTCAAATAAATAAATAAAATCTTAAAAAAAAATAAGATCTTGGAAAAAAAAAAGACTTTCATGAAAACCACATTCAGTGAGTTAACAACAATTACATGCGAATTGTTTTGTAGGGCTTCTTTTGGCATGAAGAAAACAAAAACTGTTTCAGAATGCCTCCGTATCCTGTGGGAATATGAGTGATGATTTCATTACCTAATCATGGAAGTGAAAATGAAGGACTGTGCAAATTGGTACTGGGCGTGTAATTACAGAGGAATCGCATCTGAGCCTATCCCTGTGTGTTCTCATTGGCATCTTTGCTCAGGGCCAAGTTTGCAAACATGCCTCAGGAGCATCAGGTTTGATGCTTTTGTGGACAGAGAAGTGGTTGACTGGGAGAATTACCTGAAACTGGGTATACAAAAGTGTGAGTCCCTTTATGTTTGCTTGCTAATTGTACTTTGAGAAGATTTGGGAAGGGATTAAGAAGTTGTTTTATTGGGCCAAACATTTATTTTGCTTGGGGAAAAAATAGTATTCTATAAATAAGCTCTTGCAGCCTTTACTGATTTAGTTTGTTCTGAAGAAGACCCTAGCCTCACAATCTGTCAAGCTTTTGAGTAAAGGAACAACTGTATTTGAGATGTGATGTGTAATTCAAATGTGGAAGATGCAGCCAAACTCAAGGAATCTGTTTCTTTTTCTTTTTTTTAAGATTTTATTTATTCACTTGAGACACAGAGATACAGAGAGAGAGAGAGAGAGAGAGCATGAGCAGGGAGAGAGGCAGAGGGAGAGGGAGAAGCAGACTCCCCGCTGAGCCAGGAGTCTGTTGTGGGGCTCGATCCCAGGACCCTGGGATCATGACCTGAGCCAAAGGCAGACACTTAACCATCTGAGCCACCCGGGCGCCCCAAGGAATCTGTTTCTTTGGATTCTTTTCCCTAGTGAATTTCAGTGCGCTGAGTGGGGGTTAAAAATATGAGAAAGTCAATAAATTAGGGAAGATAGCCAGTGGGAAGTGAGAAATGATAACTTACAGGGGAAAGAATAAGAGGGAATATGGGAAGTAATTTTTTCCCAGTAGTAAAAAGTACCTTTTTTTTTGCCAGAAAAAAAAATTTTATTTTTGTTTTATATTTTATATGACTACTCTTTAGGGTAGGAGTTAGGGCTGGAAATGGAAAGGCCTTCCTTTAGTGAGTTAAGCATGTGGAAAAACAGCTCACCCAAGGTGGGGGTAACTATCTAGGATAATTTAATACAATTACAGTAAACCTACTTTTGGGGAATGGAGGGGATTGCTGCCACCTTTCCTCTGCTGTCCCTCCTCCTCCAGCTAGGAGAACTTAGGCTACTCCACTACTTCCAGTTAGCCACCTATTGTTCACCATCATCAAGATTCTAGCAGCCACTTTGCTAGGACACATTGCAATATCAAGAGCTAATTTGATATATGAGTTTCTTGGAAGCGACTTTATGAGCTAATGCATTTTTCATTTTCCTTAATGTGATCATTCTTCCAGTTTTTAAGATGTACATAGTTTGTATATAAATTACAGGAATGGTAGAAATGAGGGGGGAAAGTTTCTGTTCTTTGCTCTCTCCACCCCCCTCATCTTTTGGAACATTTCAGATCTCTCTCTCTCTCTCTCTCTCTCATATATATATATATATGTATTTTAAGTAATCTCTGTGCCCAATGTGGGGCTCGAACTTACAACCCCAAGATCAAAAGTTGCATGCCCTACTGACAGCCAGCTAGGCATCCCTGGAACATTTCAGATCTTTCTCAAAGCCACAAGTATATTTCAAGATTACTTTTCTCTTCCCATTATTTTTAATTCTTTGCATCAGTGTTAGAGGGAATGCTGGAAATTTTAAGATGAATGGCCTGTGAGTGATCTGGGTAGGTGTGTATGGGCAAGGAGAATAGATGTATTAGAAAATAAGAAAATGAACTCAGATGTCCCTTGAAGAAAGGACTTCCTACCCATCTGTAAGGAGTATAACTGAAGAAATCCCTTAGTCCCTTCAGGGTGGGCCTCAGCTTTGGAGCAGCCCCCAGCCAGAGCAGAGCAATTATAGATGAGCCCAGTAGTGGAGCCCCCTAACTGGCTATCCTTGTTCCTGAGCTCTGTTGGACAGGCCCTGTCAGGGGTACATTGAGCTGTGTTCCTCCTGCTCAGTCCTGCTTCCTCTTTTTTTCTTCTCACAGGAGTTCCCCACCTTAAATCTTTTTTCATTCCTAATTTTGTTTTTTTAGCATTTGCTTCCTGGAGAATCGAACCTGTGACACACTTCTTACATAAATCACCCAATTCCCTTCATTTTACTGTCTTTATCTCAGGCTTTGCATGAAACATCAGAAGAATGATATAAATGAGTTGCCTGCTTCTATGTGTGTATTTTAACATATTTTGTGCTCTTTCTAGAAAATTTAGGGAATATAGAAAAAGAAGTTGAAAATCATCCATAATGGGGCACCTGGGTGGCTCAGTCGTTAAGCGTCTGCCTTCGGCTCAGATGATGATCTCAGGGTCCTGGGATCGAGCCCCGCATCGGGCTCCCTGCTCCACGGGAAGCCCGCTTTTCCCTCTCCCATTCCCCCTGCTTGTGTTCCCTTTCTCGCTGTGTCTCTCTCTGTCATAAATAAAATCTTTTAAAAAAAAATCATCCATAATGATATTTTTTAAAATTAATTACCTTCACGAGAGGTAACTTGATAATGGCTCATTTTGGTAAGCTTTAGAGAAAGAAGTGCATTAAACATTAAGTACTCATCTTGGTGGATTTTTCACAGACTGAACACATCCGTGTAACCATTACCCAGTCAGGAAACAACTTTACCAGCACCCCTGCAGCACTCACTTGCAATAGCATGAATTAATTTTGCCTAGTTGTGAATTTGATATAAGCATGGTCATGTAGTATGTACTCTTCTGTATTCTTTTGCTCTGTATTATGTTTGAGAGATTTATCTGTGTGGGTGTCTGTAGTTCCTTGCTGTATTCCACTGTGTTAATTTCATTGTGTGAATGTACCATAGTATATCTGTTATGTTATTGATGGGCATAAATATTGTTTTTTTACTCCTTGGATCTGTTTTGATGCTTTCTAATATAAATATTGCCTTATATGTGATATTTTAGCTAGTTAAGCCTATTCTAGGAACATTTGTTTTCCTCTTAAGTGAATTGTATAGAAGCTAGAAAAACTTTTCTTAATCCGCATTCTCAGAGTGTTCTTACTACTCTTTATAGGACCCACAGTTTGTTTTTCCTTTGAAGTTTGAGGTCTTGAATCATGCCAAGGGAATCTAGTTGCTGTCCCCTTTGCTGTCTGTCAGTCAGAAACTTGCCTTAGAGTAGCTGTTACAGAACAATCTTCCAGTTTTATGGTTATACTGGAACTCAGCTGTCATTCTGGTTTACAGCGGAGAGAAAAAATACAATCAGAAGCCTTTAGGGATTTGTTAGATATTTGGGATGGGCTTGGTATTTGAACTCTACCTGTCAAATGGGGGTGGCTCACAGTTAGTGTGGGCAAGTACTGAGGAACAGATTTCACTGAGGGTCTAAAAGAAATCATGTGCTGCTTAGACGTGTGTACCTGAGTTGTTTCAGAGCTTCTGACAGTGTATCCTGATGTTTGTTCATTTCCCACCGAAGGTGTTTGAGTGGAATGTCATGGCCAGCTCCTCGGACAGTGAAGATGACAGTTTCATGGCTGTGGACCAAGAAGAAGCTCTGCTGGAAGGGACAATGGAGCAGGAGGAGGAGCCCCGCCCGGCGCTGGAGGCTGAGGAGACGAGACCTAACAGGTCCATGTCTGAGCTGCCAGAGGAGGTTTTGGAGTATATCCTATCCTTCCTCTCGCCATACCAGGAGCACAAAACCGCGGCCCTTGTCTGCAAACAGTGGTACCGACTCATCAAAGGTACTGGGGACAGCGGAAGGGCTTATTTAAAATCTGTTTTAATGATTTATTTTTGAACTCCCAGTTTCATTTTCCCCTTTCTCCCTTAAATGTGTTATGTTCTAAAATTTAGTGTGAGACAGTTAACTCTGTACGTTTTCCTTTTCTCTTAATCCTGGTTAGTTTTATGAACAGCCTGAATTTTGTGATATTTAATCCAACTTGCAATTTTAAAACGAAGATTCTTTTTCTGCATATTCTTAGTGTTGATCTGGTAAATCGTATTGTTCTAGAACTGGAGAAGCAGGGATGGATATGGAGTAACGGTATGATGAATGTTAATATACCTCTCACTGTTGTCGGGCAGTGTAGTGACTGCTTTCCTGTCCTCACGGCCGACTCTGGACCAGGTGAAGAAACAGTGTGAGGCATAGTTAAGTAATTTACCCAAGGTCACACAGGTAGCAAATGGGGGATCAAAGGTTCGCATTCAGGCAGTCTGGCTTCAGAGTCCATGTACTTTATGAGGGTATCATTTTGTTTCTTAAAGTAGCTAATTGTGGCAAATGTGGGATTGTGCAAGCATTTACTGCTTCAAGCAGTACAGGCCCTGTGCATATCTTTTACATTTAAAAATGAGTTTCTCCTGTTTGTCCATCATTTCTAATCAAGATTTCAACTTTGGCCAACTGTTGTAGTTACTAGGTGTGCTGTATTTTTAATTAATGGATAGTTAATTGGCTTCATTACTTTTTTTTAAGATTTATTTATTTATTTGAGAGAGAGACAGAGTGGAGGGGAAGGGAGGGGAGGGGCAGAGAGAGTCCTAAGCAGACTCCACCCTGAGTGTGAGAGCCTGGTGAAAGGCTTGATCCCACGATGCCAAGATCATGACCTGAGCCGAAACCAAGAGTCGGCCACTCAACCGACTGTGCCACCGAGGTGCCCCTTGGCTTCATTACATTTTAAGTGGAAAGGGCCCATTTTTTAAATGAAGATAATCAGGCCAGTTGAATAATCTTTGGTCAAAGCAAGGGTTGTATCAATTTGTTCTTTCCTGGTGGGAACAGAGTTATGACAGAAAAACCTTTAGATCAGACTGAGTCTTAAAATCTTTTCATCAGGGTGGTTCTCGTGAGGCATGGGGTTGTTGTCAATTGCTCAGACTCCAGCCTGAAGACTGAAGACCAGCTGTGTTGAAACTGCTTGCTAGGCCCTGTTACTGTGAGGTCAGTTGCTCACAACTGGTAATACTGGTGTGCACAGCCTGCTTCTATTTGTAGACTTAATGGACTCTCCAGGAGAGACTGGCTGCCTACCCTGTGGAAGTAGATGATTTCATCTCTAAAATAGAAGTGGAAGAATCACAGATGAGGGACTGTGATCAAATCAAGTATATGAATTTGTTCTTAGTTTTATTTGGCATTCTTACCCCTAACCTAGTACTCACAGTCTTAAATCTTCTGGGGGAAGGAAGTCACTGCCAAAACATTTTCCCCCCTGTCCTTTTCTGTCATTAAGTATCTGTCTTTTATTCCTTGCTGCCTTACCTCATTTCAGTGTTTATAAATCTGTGTTACTTTCTTCATCAATGTATAATTGGCAGTGCTGTCACACATTGAGTGGCTGTGTCTTTTTAATATTTCTTTTTTTTTAAGATTTTTTTTAAAGATTTTATTTATTTGACAGAAACACAGCGAGAGAGGGAACACAAGCAGGGGTGGTGGGAGAGGGAGAAGCAGGCTTCCTGCTGAGCAGGGAGCCCAATGTCGGGCTTGATCCCAGGACCCTGGGATCATGACCTGAGCCGAAGGCAGATGCTTAATGACTGAGCCACCTAGGTGCCCCAAGATTTTATATCTTTATATGGGGGGGAGAGAGAGAGAGAGCACGAGCTGGGGGGCAGAGGCAGAGGGAGAAACAGGCTCCCTGCTGAGCAGGGAGCCCGATGTGGGGCTCGATCCCAGGTCCCTGGGATCATGACCTGAGCCAAAGACAGACGCTTAACTGACTGAGCCACCTAGGCACCCCTTAATATTTAATTCTTTTTTTTAAAAGATTTTATTTATGTATTTGACAGAGAGAGAGAGCTAGCGAGAGAGGGAACACAAGCAGGGGGAATGGGAGAGGGAGAAGGAGGCTTCCCGCTGAGTAGGGAGCCCGATGCGGGGCTCGATCCCAGGACCGTGGCATCATGACCTCAGCCGAAGGCAGGTGCTTAATGACTGAGCCACCCAGGCACCCCTTAATATTTAATCTTTAATTGTGAGTTCAGCCAAGAGATAGTAATCGTCTTTAGAAAACATGTATAAGTACTCTGATCCCGTTTAAGGATCCACTAAGGTGATATGAATTAAAAAATGATATGTTCAAAAAAAATTTTTTTAAATGATATATTCTTTCAAAGTGTAACATAATTTGTTATTCTCTTCATTCAGAATGTTGCTCTTTGAAATAAGATAATCATTTCATGAGTTAAAAAGATAGATTGTTCCAGAAACATGAAGCTCTCACTTAAAAAAAAAAAATAGACTATTTTTTAGAGTGGTTTTAGGTTCACAGCAAAATTGAGCAGAAAGTTCAGTGATTTCCCATATACCCCCTGTCCTCCCCAAATCCCAGCCTCCCCTACTATCAACATTCCCCACCAGAGTGGTCCATTTGTTATAGTTGATGAACTTCATGGACATATCATCACCCCAAGTCCACAGTTTGCATTAGGGTGCACATTCTGTGGGTTTGAACAAATGTATAATGACACGTATCCACCATTGTAGTAAAAGCTCTCACCTTTAAAAAACAGCTTTCCTTAGTTGTAAATTCATCATTTCATAATTCCCTGTAAGCTAATAATCTCTTTGTTTAAGATGGAATATGCTTGGTTGCCATGGTTTAACCATAGATATTTATGAATGCCTGTAATTTACATTCCAGACAGTTTTACCATGCTCTTTCTCACAAAGCTAAATTATTCCCCAGCCCCTTTGCTTTGGAGTAAATAATACCAATTGTTTTAATTTTATACTATTTTTATTTATTTATTTATTTTTTTAAAGTAAACTCTACGCCCATTATAGGATTCAAACGCATGACCCCAGGATCAGGAGTCGCACGCTCTACTGCCTGAGCCAGGCGCCCCTACCAGTTATTATAATGTGTTGCCTCATCATGCGATGTAAAGAGCAGTTACAGTGGGAGCTAATTTTGTAACCTTGAGCTTTGTAACATTTAACCTCCCTAAACCCTGGATTGGATCTTCTAGTTTTGAAATTCTGTTTTCTTTCTTTGAAAAATCAGAGAAATTTGGAGTTCCACTAAGAAACTTAGGTCTTATGAAAGTGATAAGACAGTTAGTACATGCAGTTTTGTTTCTCTTTTTAAGATTTTATTTATTTATTTGACAGAGAGAGACACAGCAAGAGAGGGAACACAAGCAGGGGGAGTGGGAGAGGGAGAAGCAGGTTTCCCGCGGAGCAGGGAGCCCGATGCGGGGCTTGATCCCAGGACCCTGGGACCATGACCTGAGCCGAAGGCAGATGCTTAACGACTGAGCCACCCAGGCGCCCCAGTAGATGCAGTTTTAATAATTTGATTGAAAAGTGAAGTATCCAGGCTGAGGCCTTTGTTTTTTTTGTCTTTAGGTGTAGCCCACCAGTGTTATCATGGTTTCATAAAGGCTGTCCAGGAAGGACACATTCAGTGGGAGAGTCGGACGTACCCTTACCCTGGAACCCCGATCACTCAGCGGTTCTCACACAGTAAGTATTCATCGTGAGAGCAGAGGCCACCCTGCCTGTGGTCGTATTTCTAAAAATTACTTTGGAAGCATGTATTTTGTTTGACTTTTTAATGACGTGAATGCAAAATGAGGATTTATATTAATTTTATAATTAGAATCAGGGAAGGCTGTGAGCCTAGGTACAGTGTAGGTACCTTGGTATAATTTTATATTTGGATTTTTCTAGTATCTGCTCCAAAGAGGTCAAGGTATTATCTTAGACTTGAACATCTGACATCATGTCAGAGGAAAACAAAGGAAAGGAGTGCACGAGGGTATTTCTGAGATCCTACTTCCGGAGTAGCCAGAGTTTAGCAGTAAGTCTTAGGATAATTCTTTATTTTAACATAGTATATGTTTAGAAAATACTGATTTTGACTGGGGTCATACAAAAATTTTGAACATGAAGGGTATTAACTATAAATACAAATTTAAATAGTAAAATTATAAATGCTCTGGCAATTTGGATGTAATTTAGAGTTTTAAAAATTATTTTAGAATTAACTCTCCATTTTAATTTATTTTTGTAGACACCATTTTATTCTATTAGAGATTCATACCTTCATCAGAATGAGATGTGGTATATCTTAGGCCAGTAAAGGTGTATTATTAATAGTTCTGCATAAAGAAAGGTCATTGGAGGGGGACTCTTAGGAAGTTTCTCATAATTACAGCTTTAATTATATTACTTCCCTGTTCAAAAAGCTTCAGTACCTGTCCTTTGCTTACAAGATAAAAGCTAAACTTAGTGTTATATTCAGAGCCTTCTTTAATTTGATCTGTGTCCAGATTTACTCCTTCATCTCCCAGCTTCTCCCAGGAGCTCTCCTCTTTCAGGCTGTCACTTTGCTGTACGGGTTTCTTCCTTGCTTCAGTATTCCCATCCACTTAGCTGAAGCCTGCCTTTCCTTGAAGACTCAGCTGAAGTTCTAGCTCCCTCATGAAACCTCTCAACTCTTTAGCTCATAGAAAAGTTTTTCCTGTTCTGAGCCTGTGTTTTTGTCTGGAATACTAATTTTGATACTCTTTGATACTAATACTAATTTTGAACTCTTTTTTTTATTTAAGTTTTTAATTTTAATTCCAGTATCGTTAATTAGTTTCAGGTGTCCAGCATAGTTATTCTACAATTCTGTAAATCACCCCGTGCTCATCATGATAAGTGTATATATTTTGAACTCTTGAGGAGAAGGAGAGTGTATTGGTTATTCATGTTGCATAAAAATTAACCCCAAAACTTAGCAGCTTAAAACATTTCTTATCTTACAGAGTTCCTGAGGGCCAGGAATTTGGAGTGCTTTAGCTGGCCCAGGGTCCCTGATGAGGTTGCAATCAGTCTGTCAGCCAGGGCTGTAGTCACCTGAAGGCTTGACTGGGGCCCAGGGGATCTGCTGCCAATCCCACTCAAGTAACTGTTCACAGGAGGCTTCCGTTCTTTAGGACTTGGACCTCTGCATAGAGCTGCTAATTACTTGGTAGCTGGCTTTTCCACAGAATGAATGAACTGAGAGAAAGAGACAGATACCAAGACAGAAGCCATGGTGTCTCTTCCAGCCCCTTTCTGAAGTGAATACCAACTTTTCTGCTTGGTTCTATTGGTCACACAGAGATTGACCAGCAGTGTAAATACCAGGAAGTGAGGACCATCGGAGGCCATCTTGGAGGCTGGCTGCCCCAGACCATATGTTGTACTCATATCCAGAGGAGAGTTCACTCCATAATTATAATTTATTGTTATCTTTGAACTGGGTCTAAATAGATCAAAGGAACAGGCCAGACTATTCCTGTGTTTTCAGTTCTTTTGAGGAGCTATTTTTACTTGTCCTGTTATAAACCCCCTAAGACAGTGGATCTCAAAGTGTGATTCCTGGACTTTTGGGGAGGAGGGCATGGGTGAGACCCTTTTAGGGGTCTGTGAAGTCAGAACTGGTTTTATTTTAATACCCCTGCCTTGAGTCTTACACAGGCTGCAGCGGTTTTACCCAGCATTGCTCTTGCACCATCAGTGCAAACATCAACATAGTGAAAAGAGCCATTAACAGCAACTACTGAAAAATACCCCAAACCCAGACTGGTACAACTAGTACTACTAGTAGTACTATTACCACCATCACTACCTCCTCCTCCTCCTTTCTTCTCCCTCTCCTCCTTCCCAATATTATTACCTCAGACATCGTTTTGAAAGGGTCTTGAGTGTTTTCAGGAGTACAGACTGTAAATGAATTCTTGCCAAGAATATTTAATGAAATTACAGAAGAATCCATGTTAGGTCCAGTATTTATTGTTGAGGGGGAGTTAACTTCAGTGACCTACAGATATTTGGAATAACAAGTGGAGACGGGGTTTCCAAAGGCTGTTTTCAGATTGTTTTTTGAAACAAGTAGCTTTAGAACCCTAGGTGAGGGAAGTCTGGGGAAAGTAGAAACCAAACTGGCAAGTATTCAGAGGTGAATAATTATCACAGTAACAGTTCAGCTTTCTAATGAGAGAAGAAAAAAATGTTTTTCTGTTAACAGCTTTGGAAAGAGCATCACCACAAAATAGAGTTATTTGAAGGGGAAATGGAGAGGAAAAGTACAGTGAGTAAGCTCACAGAAATTCGGAGTTTGGTGGGTTTTGATATGTGTTTTTACCTTGAAATTTTTTCGTATCTTCACCTGAAAGGCGAGAAAAGGTGCCATAGAGTTTTAAAAAAGGGGTCTATGTCTGGGCGCCTGGGTGGCTCAGTCATTAAGCATCTGCCTTCGGCTCAGGTCCTGATCCCAGGGTCCTGGGATCGAGCCCCACATTGGGCTCCCTGCTCCACGGGAAGCCTGCTTCTCCCTCTCCCACTCCCCCTGCTTGTGTTCCCTCTCTCACTGTGTCTCTCTCTGTCAAATAAATAAATAAAACCTTTTAAAAAGGGGGGGGTGTCTGTGTCTTGTTTCCTCTCAGCGCATCTCTCATTGTTCCCTTTCTCTCTGTGTGCTAACTGGCAGACTGAAGGAAGACAGTTACACAGAAATGGGCATTTTTCAGAATAGGTTGAAAACCAGGAATTCCTTCAGTGTCTTTCCTTAGCTCCTTTCTCTTCCTACTGTGTGTTTCTCCCCAGAGCCCAATTTTATTTCTTATTCCTGACTCACCTTGAGCTCAAGGTCTGCATTTCCAGCTCTTTGCTCATACTGCCCCAGAGATACACAGACGTTTCCTATCTCGCCAGCTATTGGTGGTATTTGGTAATTGCCCCCAGATGTTCTGCTTTCCATAATTTAGTTAATGGCATTATCGTTCTTTCAGTTACACAGGCTTGAATTCTTGGATTTATCCTCAGTTCTTCTCTTTCCTTCAGCAACAAAAGTCAAATCTTGTTGATTCCGTCCATTTTTGCAATCTCTGTCTTTCCTTATTTTTCCCATTACTCATGTTTATGAGCTAATTGTTTCTTTCCTAAATCTTTTCTAAATGGTCTTCTTTTTCTCTCTCTTCATCTAAACCTGCACTAGACACTGTTGGCACCCATCTCTGAAACTGGGGACAGTGCCACCTCGAAGGGCATTTGGATATGTAAGGTCATTCATTGTTCATTTGCTTGACTGGAAAGCACTGCATGCATTTAGTAGGCAAGGGCCAGGACTGTTCGCCATCCTGCAGTGAATGGGATGCTCCTACACAAAGAGAATGGACTTGCCTAAAATGACGGGAGCCTGTGTCTGGAACCACTGCAAGTCTGTAACCTCAAACCAGTCTTGTCACTCCTCTGCCAAAAAACTGCAGTCTTTCCACACTGCATGCAGAAGTTTCCCCTCCCTCTGACTTTCAAGGCCCCAGCATACTCTTTCAGCTTAAATCTCTGCTGCATCCTCACACAGCTAGGCTCCACCCACATGAGACTCCTTGTTATGTCTTAAACTTCCTTACTTTTTTTTTTTTAATTTTTAAAAGATTTTAGGGGTGCCTGGGTGGCTCAGTCAGTTAAGCATCTGCCTTCAGCTCAGGTCTTGATCCCAGGGTCCTGGGATCGAGCCCCATGTCGGGCTCTCTGTTCAGCGGGAGCCTGCTTCTCCCTCTCCCTCCCACTCCCCCTGCTGGTACTCTCTCTCCCTCGGTCAAATAAATAAATAAGATCTTTTTTTAAATAAAAATTTATTTATTTATTCGATAGAGACACAGCGAGACAGGGAACACAAGCAGGGGGAGTGGGAGAGGGAGAAGCAGGCTTCCCGCTGAGCAGGGAGCCCGATGCAGGGCTCGATCCCAGGACCCTGGGATCATGACCTGAACCGAAGGCAGATGCTTAACGACTGAGCCACCCAGGTGCCCCTAAACTTCCATACTTCGTGGCCTTGCTTGGATGCCCCTATTGCCTTCTTCCTTTCCCTCTCATTCCTTTTTCGTCCATGGACTTGTTTGTCCCTTGTTAATGGACTGAAAGTGTTCCGAAAATGTTCCATCCTCTAACACCCATCTCAGAGATAAAGCCAAAAGCCACATTCTTCATAAACTCCTCTCAGATTTTCTGCCATGGAGATGAAACTCTTTTCTTCCTCTACTTGTACCCCCCTAAAACACTCTTATCTTTCTTGTACTGTTTATTACCATCTCTCGCCATAATTGTCTTTCAGAGAGGCTGAATACGAAAAAACTTTAAACTTGAGAAGCAAGTTCCTTGGCTCTTCTTTTTTTATTTTCATTTCACAAAATTTTTTTAAAAGATTTCATTTATTTGACAGAGAGAGGGAGGAAGCATAAGCAGGCGGAGCAGCAGGCAGGGGGAGAAGCAGGCTCCCTGCTGAGCAGAGAACCCAATGCAGGACTCCATCCCAGGACCCCAGGATCATGACCTGAGCCGAAGGCAGACGTTCAACCAACTGAGCCACCTAGGTGCCCCTTTAACATTTTATTTTATTTTTTTTAAGTAATTTCTACACCCCAGCATAGGGCTTCAACTCACGATCAAGAGTCACACACTCCACCGACTGAGCCAGCCAGGCACCCCTCCTTGGTTCTTCTAACCCAGTGTTTTCATCTGTAAAAAGTGTATAACAAATTCTGTTTATGCCACAGGGTTGCTAGGAAATTTAATCAAGGAAACACTTGTAAAAATATTTTTTAAACTGCAAAGTGATAGGGTGATGAAGATGTCTCCTCCACAAGTGGTTGTCTACTGCAGGACAAGCAGGTTCCAAGTCTTAGACATCCATGTACCTTTCACAACACGTGGTTCGTAGTTGAAATCTACTGAATTCTTTGAAATTAAGTATCACAAAGATGGATCAGTACAGCTTCTTTCCGGTGTAGAAGCCTGGGACCAAAATGAAGCCAGTTTTCCTAGTTTTTTGGCGGGTGTGTACATGAACAATCATGAAGCCTTGACTAACAGAGAATGTCCTTTTCAGATTGATGTAGGGCTCTGTTAGAGCCCCCAGCATCATGCTTTTAGTGTTTAGGTCTAGGCTGCACATAGGGTCCGGTCATTTCCTACCCATGCTAGTAGTGCTCCTGCAGTAGCTAGCAGGCCCAAACTGGATCACCAGCCTTGCTTGTTCCATAGTTATGTAATTATAGGCCTTATCCAATCTGTCCTGGCTTGTAGACTGAGACACACGACAGCGTTGTCTCTTTAAGCATGGGATAAATGCCTCAGGACCTTTCCCTGGAAACAAGTGGAAAACAAAAGAGAATTTAACGTTTGAATGAGCAAAGGTTGGAGTTCAGTGGACATTGCCTGAGTGACTCCCAGGCATCATAGGAAATATGAAACAACTGGGAGACCTTGCCCTAGAGAGGATTATACTACAGTAGGCAAGTGTTCAGGATGCTGAAGAACTGCTTGCCTGCTGGGTGTTAATGTGAATATTTGACTTGCCTTTGAGTAGGGATTATTAGATATTAACTGGAAATAGATGTCTTGCAATAGTTGTTCATGGAGCAATCAAACCATTTCAGAAAATTTGAAGAGATTTAGCAATTAGAATAAACATTCCTAATGTTACTTCTTAGCCGAATATTCATACTGTGAACTATATCTTTTGTATGGCACATCCCAGTGGTCTAGATGTTCTGAAAAGAAAATGTGCTGTTTGGGTGGAGAACGTTGGTAAAAGGGAAATGACCACTTGAGCACTGGCATTTGCTTAAATTCTTAGTTTTTTCTAAAAGGCCCATTGAACTTGTTGGGTCTCCCCACCCCCACCCATACCAACATGTAGGTGTCTTAAATAAAAATAGACAATAAACAAAAGTTTAATAGGATGCTTAAAATATTTGAGTGTATTATTATGATGGCTATTTTCTCATTCCATTATATCTGAGTTCTAAACATAGCTGCTTGAATTGACTCCCTTCCTCTCCAGGCTTCGTTGCTAATTAACTGATAGGCATTGAGAATACAGTGTGTGTGAAACTTGTCATTTCAGTCCTGCTAGTTTTGCAGAGTTTGGGCTGTGCCTTCCTCTTCTAGAAACCTTTGTTTGCTCAAAGAGAAGCAGGAAAATACCGATTGCCTTATTTTAGTGTAGGATTAAAATACATGTGGCAAGGACCTCATGGGGCCCAGCTGTTGGCTGGGTTTTCAATCCAAATAGAGAAGAAGAATGTTTGCTACCTCTTTGAAAAATAAAGGCACTGTGCTCTTTTGCTATATGAAGGAAACAGCTGCCGAGATTTGATCTTTGAAGAGTGGTGAGACATAAATGAGCCCTTGACTCTCTTAGTTATGGATTTGTCTTATTAAACATTCTTATAATGGACACAAATTAAGGCTTCAGAAGCCATAGGACACTGCTAATTTCTGTTCCGTAAGTATGGGTTACCAAGAGGAAAAGAATGTTCTTTCATGCCTGGCACCAGTTGGTTCAGTTCAAAATTTCAGTCCCATTTGTTGGAGTGGCTAGTTGAAGACAGATATGAGAAGACCCAAGATATTGAAGCTCAGCTTCTTTAGTGGAGATTGAAATGTGGTTCCAGCAGTTACGCTTTTTGTTTGTCTAATGTCAGCTAAATTCTGTCCTTTGTTATTTGCAGTTCTTTTTTTTTTTTGTTATTGTTATTTGCAGTTCTTAACACTGAAATACGAGCAGTGCAGTGCAGTAGAGTTTTGTAGGATTTTACTTCTTGGTGGGGGAGGGTTACTTCTTAATAGACTTTCTTGTTGCGGTATGGATTTTAAAACTGATATAGATTAGAAATTATTTTCAAAGGCAAAGAAAGTTAGTGGAAAGTGCAAGATCACTTAAATCTCCATATACCATTGTGTAGTGTGTTTGTTAATTTGAAAAGTCTGCACCTCCATTATCGTACAGTGTCAGAGGTCAGCTGATTTGGATCTCTGCCTTCCACTGGCTGAGATGACCAAGTGTACGTGACGGAACACACTGCTTGTAGTACCTCATAACTCCTGCTGTTTTCTGATGTGGCCTTCCTAGTGTAGAGATTCCTTAAAGGGGCTGTGAAGCGGGCTGGGTTCAGAAAAAAAAAGGACAGTCATTCACAGAGCTAGTGCATGTCACAGAGGTAATGATAGCAGTGGCACTTCCCTTTTTCTGACCGTGAGTAAGTGGTGGCAGAGTTCAGAAGGGCTCTTACAAACAGAGGTGTGCTAAACTGCACTAGACCCACAAATAAGCTGACCAATCACTGAAACCATGCTCTAGTGGATTGAATCTTCAGGCTTCTTTTCCCTTTCCCCTGCCTCATATGGGACACTTACTGTTCCAGCCTAGTTTCACATGAACATTGAGAGGTCTTTTTTTCCCCCACCAGTATGCATGAAATGAATGGAAAAGAAAGTTTTGCTCGGTCCTCTTCCTATGAGCCAAGATGGTAAATGCAAGACTGTAAGGAGTGGGGTCATCTTTTCCAAAGGATAGAGACTTAATGAGCTTTTTAGTGCCAAGCAAGGTGGCAGTGCCTCTCATCTAAACTCTGGCTCTGGTCCTCCTGGTTTTGGGGGAACAGCCTAGCCCTTCTTACAGTCCTTGCCCTTTTGCTTTGGAATGGTGCCCATCAGTGAGGCGTGTATAATCATCTGATTGAAAAGGCTCTTCTGAGAGACTTTGGTGCTTTGTAAATGTTACTGAGCTGGTTTTCCATTCGGCACCAACCAGCCTGTGTTGGTGGCTTTTGGATGCACCTAGGGACTTAATGACTTCCATGCTTTTCTCTCAGTTGCTTTGGGACCGTACTACTTCTAAGATCCCCGAGCTACATTGATCTTTATGTGCTGTTACTTCATGGCATTGATTAAAAATGTCTTCTGTCATTTTCTTCATATAAAGATGTGCTTCAGGTTTCATTTGAAAGCAAAAACGGTCAGAGGAGGGCTGCAGGTGAGAAGTGGGAGGACTGAGTGCATCTGTTATCACTGACTCCGCCTAGCCCTAGAGCATAATGATGCAGATTTAGATGAATTATGCAGCTGTACTGAAATTTTACTCATTAAGCACCCTTAATCTGAATTCTTGTGTGCTCTTGGTGGAATGATACTGTCTTATTTAATGACGACATTGTCACTTTGCTTAGTGTGCTCAGAAATAACATTTCCAGGGGCGACTGGGTGGCTCAGTTGGTTAAGCGTCTGCCTTTGGCTTAGGTCGTGATTCCAGGGTCCTGGGATCAAGCCCCGCCTCAGGCTCCCTGCTCAGCGGGGAGCCTGCTTCTCTTTCTCCCTCTGCCACTACCCCCATTTGTGCTCTCTCTCTGTGTCAGATGAATAAATAAAATCTTAAAATAAAGAGTAATGTGATATTAACCAATCTGAAGACAAGAGGCTGGTTATAGAAAGATGGTACTTGGCAACAGAGTTGCAAAACGAGTGAAATAATTGATCTTTGAAAGATATGGGCTATAATTATGGTGTTAGAGGGGCTTCAGAGTTAAACATCAGCTATGAACTTATTGTTTTCTTTCTAGGTGCATGCTATTACGATGCTAATCAGTCTATGTATGTGTTTGGAGGCTGTACCCAGAGCAGCTGCAATGCTGCCTTCAATGACCTCTGGAGACTTGACCTGAATAGCAAGGAGTGGATCCGACCTTTGGCTTCAGGTAAGAAATAAAATTCTGATCTTTGCCGTCGTACCAGGTAACTCCCTTTGCATGGTAATTCTATCTGGCTGTTTTGGTTTTGGTCTCTGGTACTGGGGACCCAGGCCCTTTGTCAGATCTGCTGTGTAAATGCCAAAAGTAATGTGCTTGTATAAGGTCTTTGGGGGAAAAAAAAAATCTTTATCCTGACTATTGGTGCCCTGCCAGAATTGCTGTACTACTGTGTGAATTCATCTGTGTGGTTTTCTCAAGTGCTTGCACTGGTGTGATACGCTTTTTGGTATGAAGTTGAAGTAAGAGCAGAAACACAGCATCGTGAGAACTGTAGTTGACTGACAGAAGCTGTTGTCCCAGGGCTAGGATCTCTGAATGAATATCTTTTGTTGTCGCCAGCTCAGATATTTGGGGAGTGTATGGAACATGCCTCTACTGGTTACTCTTAACAACTCAGGAGTGTGGGAAGATTCTCGAGTAGGTACATTACTGCACAGCCCCACTATGCCAAAATTCTAGCAAAAAGAAACTGTTTTCTCCTTTTTGACCTAACCTTTCTTGGGGCGGGGGGGGGGGGTTTGTTTTGGCACTCTTGAGGCAGGACAATTTGAAAAGGCATAACCATAAGATTGAAGGAGCTGGTGTGATGGAGAAAGAGAGTCCACTGAGCATAAAGTACTCTACTAGATTTGTTGGCAAGCAAGCTTTTCCCAGACATTCATTTGGCTTTTCAAGGTCAGAATTCACACTAGGACTAAGGAAACTGAGGTTTTCCTTGAGTAGATGCTTTACTTATCTAGGTCTTGATTTACTACTTTGATTACTAGTTGGGGAGCTACTTGGTATAGTAGAAAGGGCCCTGAGTTTCATTTCCTGGCACAGTAGCCAGTTCTCCTTATATCAGTGAACAGGTGACTTCATCTCTCTGGGACAAATATGGAGTGGGACTAGATGATGCGATTTTCCAGGGGGTTGGGAAGGCTAGTTTAGCTTACCTTTTTTTCTGTAATGACTGCTATGACTGTCTAGGCCAGGGACTTAAAACCGTTGTATGAGACGACGCTTTGTTTTGCTCCCCCAAAGCTGTAAGCTCCTATTCCTTCCCCTGCAATAGGCAAACATAGGAGGCAGGAGCCTACCGACAGCAGGTACTCACAGGTGGGGTTGGGGTTTGCATGGAGGAAATTCTTTATTAAAATCATTAGAAAGATGACCAAGTGTTAATCTTTTAAAAATTTTGGAAGTTGGTGCTGTTTTAGGGCCCTCAGAATTGTGTACTTCGGAGAGTTTCTTCTTCTAACCCTTTGTCCCCGTTGCACTTGGTGTAATACTGATTAGTGTTTGGATCACAGATTCTAAAATGTAGACAATGTAGACTATCTCTTCAGCTTAAGCATCCTGTTGCCACTGTACTTGGTGTCCAGGTCCCATTTCAGAGCAGCTTTGATTATTCCAATCACAAAATACTAATACTCTCTTCCTCTATTTTGTAACCAAGCTTTATGCCTTTGATAATTTGAGCTAAGCACTGCTCTTTCTTCTAGAAGTGAAGCTCTGGACTGTGGGACCCTCATAACCCATTGCTAACTACTGTGCTTATTTTCCCTTATTTCTCCCTGTAAGGTAGACATGGGACTTTTTTCTTTTAAACCACTAAGACTATGTTTTGAAGTATCAGATAAATAACTGACTTTACAAATACAATGTCAGGGGCACCTGGGTGGCTCTGTAGGTTAAGTATCCAGCTCTTGGTTTTGTCTGAGATCATGATCTCACAGTCGTGGGATTGAGCCCCGTATCAGGCTCCGTGCTCGGTGGGGAATCTGCTTGAGATTCTGTCTCTCCCATTCCCTCTCCCCCGCTCTTGCGCACCCACATGCGCGTGCTCTCTCTCTCAAATATAAATCTTTCAAAAAGGGGCACCTGGGTGCTCAGTCGTTAAGCGTCTGCCTTTGGCTCAGGTCACGATCCCAGGGTCCTGGGATCGAGCCCTGCGTCGGGCTCCCTGCTCGGCGGGAAGCCTGTTTCTCCATCTCCCACCTTGCTTGTGTTCCCTCTCTTGCTGTCTCTCTCTCTGCCAAATGAATGAATAAAATCTTTAAAATAAATAAATAAATAAATAAATAAATCTTTCAAAAAAATAAAATAAAAATGCAGTGTTAGACTATTTCCTTTTATAAAACATAGAAACTCCTGAAGGTTTAATTTTCTAACAAAGTGTCTCAAAGAATCTGCTGGCCACTTCACTCGAATCTACAATTAAAGCCTAGCTTTAAAGGGGGAAAAACAGCTATTTGAAATGTCTCCTTTTTAAACAAACAAACAAGCACTGGTTTTTAATAAAGAATGCTATGAGATTCTCCTTCAGGCAGAAATCCCATGGGAAGATTGCCTGAGGAAATGTTTCTGTCAGCTGTCATGAGTCCCAACCAAAATTACTTCGTAACAAACATCAGTGAGTCTTTCTGAACAAAACACAGTTGTTGATGTGCCTTGGTGTGCCTGACGCACCCATTTTAGTGCTTGGAGGTGGGTAGGTTGGAAGGTGGCTGAAGCCTCCGGAGGGTGCCTGCCACCCTTTGGTGCCAGCTGTGAAGTCTTCTCACATGTGAGCATTCATCAGCAGTGAGTATTCAAAGCAATAGCCTAAACAGGGTTCAGTCTTCGGGAAAGTGTAGCGGTGCGAAGAAGAGCATCAGACAAGCAGGAGGGGGCAGTTTCATTTGGAGTGGAGAGTCTTTCTGGAGAGTGCTGCTGCATCAGGTGTCTTTTTCCTTGTTTATTTGCTGATACTGCAGGTGAGACTGGAGCCTTCTCATTTTGGGTGGTGTCCTAACCCACTCAGGCTGCCATAACAAAGTAACATAGACTAGGGGCTTAAACAACACAACTTTATTTCTCATGGTTCTGGAGGCTGGGAGTCCAAAGTCACGGTGCTGGTGAGGGCTGTCTTACTGGCTTGCAGGCAGCTGCCTTCTTGCTCTGTCCTCACTTGGCAGAGATAGAGTTCTGGTGTCTCATCCTCTTTTCATAAGAGCACTAGTCCCATTATAAAGGCCTCAACCTTATAACTTCATTAAACCTGATTATCTCCCAAAGGTTCCATCTCCAAAGGCCATCACATTGGTGTTAGGGCTTCAACATATGAATTTTGATAGGACACAATTCAGTCCATAGCCATGGGAGTTCATGTGACTTGCCCCTGAAACCTTGTTAGTTCCTTTTGAAATGATGTAAGTGCTCCATCTGGAGGGAGCGTGGTAGTGACCAGTGTTAGAATGACAGCTCTCATGGCCGAGTGAGACCTCGGGAGGCCTGGCTGGCTCAGTCGGTAGAACATGTGACTCTTGATCTCAGGGTTGTGAGTTCTAGCCCCACGTTGGGTGTGGAGCCTACTTAAACAAACAAACAAACAGGGGCACCTGGGTGGCTCAGTCGGTTGGGCGTCTGCCTTTGGCTCAGGTCATGATCCCAGGGTCCTGGGATCGAACCCCATGTCAGGCTCCAGGCCAGCGGGGAGCCTGCTTTTCCCTCTCCTCCCCGCTTTCACCATCTCTAGAGTCTCTGTCTCTCCCAAATAAATAAAATCTTAAAAAGAAACACACACACACACACACACACACACACAACGGCTGAGTGAGACTTACCACAGCTACACCCTCCTACAGCTAGTGCTTCTCGGGCATTTCCAGTGAGGTACCTCCTCCTCCCTCTACAGCTAATATTGTAGCCCCTCCTCTCATGAAGCTTATATTGTATTAGGGGAGAAACAAAAACAGAAAGTATGAAGAAAACAAGAAATGAGCTAGAATAAGAGGGGAAGAGCTGCTTTAAACAGGAGGCAACATTCTTTGCTGAGATTTGAAGGATGAGTGGAGAGAGTGAGACCACTTGTGCAAAGACCCTACAACAGCAAAGAATAGGACATACGCCGGGGGCCTGAAGGCACACCTTGTGGGCGTGGCACGGTGAGCAAGGGCTAGAGTGGTGCCCATGGGGCTGGGATGTAGACGGGCCAGTTCATTGTGGTGCGGATGGGGCTGGGATGTAG